TGTAACATAGATATCTGTTGACTTATTGGCCCCTTTCATGTTCATTGTGCAAACAGGGTCACTGCCACAGAAGAAGGGAGAGAAGGCTACAGATTGTGCATGGAGAATTCCCATCCTTCTGATGGGTGGAAAGAGACTATGGAAGGCTGTTCAGAAATTAGTAAATGGGCATCAAAGGGAGTTCAGGGACTGTGGTGTGAGGTATCCAAGAAGAGAGCAGAATTATGCACACACACCAGGGATTTCCTTATAGAACTGCATCCCAACCCTGAGTTGAGAATCTCTCCAAGGGGCTCACTATTTGCATCTCAAGTTTTCTCTCAGCCCACCCTGCCCCCACTTTTGTGATCCTCAGCATCACCTTACGAATGGTACAGTCATTAGGGACCAGGTAAAGGTGAAATGTCACTTCCTTGAGATTGAGGTGATAGTAGATCAATGTGGTGGCAGTGATGGGGATGAAGTGCCTGACAGCAGAAATCATTCTCATTAGAACTCCAATTGGGGAGAAGCTTGGGTTTTCCAGCACTGCAAAACGCTGCTCCACCCTGGATGGCGTTTCTAGGACCATCCCATGTTCTTGAAAATGGGCCACACGGAACAAGGAAATGTTCACCTGTCCCTCTGTGAAGGAAAAGATTCAAGAGATATAGAGTTAGTATTTCCATTGGTCCATGCTTGTCTGGGAAAATAGCACCCTATGACTTAGAATGATGTGGTTATTTGAATAAGAATGGGCCCCTATATTTGGTGGAACTGTTTGGGAAGCATTAGGAGGTATGGCCTTGTTGGGGGAGCTGTGTCACTGGTGGGCTTTGAGGTTTTCAAAAGCTCATGCTTTTATCATTTTTTTCTCTCTCTCCTACTTATGGATCAGGATGTAAAAAGCTCTCAGCTACTTCTCTAGTACTAAGTCTACCTGCTTTCTGCCAAGCTCCCTGCCATATTTGGTCATGAATTCACCCTCTGAATCTAAGCCCCAATAAAATCTTACTCCTATAAACTGCTTTGGTTATGATTTCTATTTAGTTTGTATTTATGTTTTGATGTTTATGAGAAAAACTATGACCAAAATTTAAATTCTAATAACTAAATTCCAGTGACAAAACAGCAGAACTATCAACTGTTTTCTCATCATCAATTCACCATGCCAGTGAGGGTGAGTGTGAGCTGTTGCCAGTGGTGACTCATGCAGACTGACCCTCATTGGATCAACCTTGGCTTTGCCCCGGGCTAGCTGCTGGGTGAGCAATCACAGTGAAGTGGAGGTTTTTTTTTTTATTATCTTGTCCATGGCTGCTATTAAAAATACAGTCTCAGAGGTTACTATCAGAAACTTGACACCTAGAAGACTCTGAGGTGCTGTTATCACCAGCCTCAGTGTCATGGGATTGATGGTATTCTCAAAATTCTTAGTTGCAGGATGGAGTTTTGCTGCTATGAAAGAGACCCAAGGGTACCTTTGTCAACTGAAGAAAAGCTGGATAGATCACTGGAATGGTTAATATTATAGGTGAAATTGATAAAAATCTAGAATCATCATAGATACAGGCCTCAGGACATGATAGTAAGAGATTATCTTGATTGGGTTAATTGGATAGGAAGACCTATCCACTGTGTGTGGTACTATTCTATGGACTAGGACCCAGGACTGTGCAAAATGAAGAAGGTCACACAAGCACAAGTATTCACTGTTCTCTGCTTCCTCTGTTGACTCAAGTTTATCAGCTGATGAAAACTCCATGTTCTCAGACTTCCATGTCATGATTAACTGTTTCTTTGACTGTGAGGAAAATAAACCCTTTCTCTCTTAAGTGTCTTTGGCAGGTATTTTGTTTGAGCTATAAGTAAATCAACCTTGACAGGAAATGGATACAAGGAGTTGGATTGATGCTGTAGAGAGCCTGATCATGTGGTTCTTAGGTCTTTGGGACTGTTTTATGGCTGGAATGTGAAGAGTTTTGTACTTAGGACCTGGAAAGCACTTCCATGCTGAGAGCAGAGCTTAAGGGGACATTCGGGTGGAAGCAGGAAGACAAGAATGCTGAGAGAGACAGTGGAGGCCAATCTGTGAGGTTGCAGAGAGTAGCAAGGTTTCCATTGGGAACTGTGAAAGGATCCATTCATGTGACAGTTTGGCTAAGAATTTAGATTTATTGTGTCAATGCCCTGAATGTGAGTTAAGATGAATTTAAGGGACTAATTTGGATGGGGAAGTTTCAGGACAGAAAACATCCAGAGTGACTCTACACCATCAGCTGTGGCTGTGAGAGAGCAGCATCACTGAGGGGAAGGCTACAGTGTAGGTGACAACAGGAAACGGGTCCTGAGGGAAAATCTCATTCTTCATAGACTCATCTTGTGAAGATCCACATTCATTTATAGACAGAAAGCCTGAAGTGATGGTGTTCCCTGTTCCCTAGATGTAAATACAAGAAAGTGTTTCCCCATAATACAACTGTAGTGTGGGTGGCCACATTGCAAGCTGGTAGAAGAACTTGTCAGTATCATCCCTGTAGGTTTTCAGGCTTGAAATATACTATATTGAGGGGTCACTGAGTCATGCTGCACAATTTCAGATAATAGCTAGAGCCAGGCAATATGTCTGAATCAAAGATCCTGCAAGGAGATCTGAGAGGTCATTCTGTGAACCTTTGAAAGTACAGACTAAGTTGGAATGGAGATTCTGCATAACAGAGAAGCCTGAAACACATTTTTACCTGCTAAATAAAGTTGTAGGCAATGAGTAGAGAGATGGCCTAATGAGAGAAGTTACCTTTGGAGTCTAGTGAATGACATCATGAGCTCCATAGCTGGACATGAAGCTGCAGGATTTTATGTTTATGCTGGTGGAGTTTTGTCTTGCTGTGGTCTGATCATTCCTTGGTATGCCCTGATTCTTCCATTTTGGAATGGTAATGTTTATTCTGTTCCATTATATGTTGAGAGTAAGTAACTTGTTTTTAATTTTATAGGGATTCATAGTTAAGACACTGCCTTGAGTCTATGTTGAGAGGTGGACTTTATGGAGTTTTAAACTGCTAGAAGTATTAAGGACCATGGGAAACTTTGAAATTTGGTTGTATTTTGAATTATGAGATGAAACTGAAACTTTGGAGACATGCAATAGGAAGTTATAAATTAAAGTGATGTGCTTGGGTATCTAGTTGACAACAGTAGAATCCTGATGATGAATGTCACTTGTCAGCTTGATATGATCCCTGGTAATGAAATTGCCACTCTACAATCCACCAGTTGCCGGCCCCTTCAGCACTGAGTTTACTTCCAACTTGCACCATGACAAACAGTGTTGTAATGTATAACAATTAGCAGAGAACATTTCTATTTCTCTCAGGTGATTGCTTTGGAATCAATAATCACCAGGAAATGAGACAATGAAATTGCTCCTGCTTGAGGTTGTACAGCTTGGATTTTCCATCAACAAAATGCCAGCCAGTAGTTTCACATGGAATCACACAGCACTAACACGCCTTCTGTGTGACAGTTCTAGGCCAGATCCTAGCACTTATCCATGCTTTGTGCTGTGCCAATTTTCACAGAATCACAGAAGAAGCTGTACCTCTCCAACCTCCCTTCTTGCTAGAGTATTGACCTTCCCAGGACTTGAGGGGAATGTGGAGAGCTGGACTTTTGTTGTTAAGACCAGAAATTTCCTGAGGCATCTAAGATGACTTGGTATGTTTTTGCATTTCTTTTCTCCTTTTGGGATTTTGGATACAGGGATTCACTGTGTTTCTAGGTAGAAGTCACAATATTCAGGCCCAGCATGTAGAACTCTGGGACCATAGGTATGTGCTAACACCTGTCCCTGTAACTGTCCTTCTACACATATTGTCCTTCTATAAACTTTAACAGAATCATATATATTGAATTTTCCAACTCTGTAGTTTTCTGATCTGAGAGTGGGAGTAAGACACAGGAAAGGTGGTGGCCTGCAGGGAAGAAGCTTGAGTAGTGACTGGGCACGTGTTGTTGGGGAGACCAGGAGCTCTATGTGCACCTGCTGGACTGGCCTCATTAGACACACTGGGGAGGCATCACCCGGGGAGCAGTGCTCCTGTGTCAGGGTCTGTAGCTCAGGGTCTCATGTGTTTATGAATGTGACTGTTGTTTTTATTTGTTTTGTGAGTTTTTTTCAGCTGAGTCCTGCTTGTTTTCTTCATCTTCATTTGTTTTCTTCTTTGAGGCTTAACATTTAAAGTGAATATTTTTAATCTGATGGATGTTTTGTTCATTTTCTATGTATGGTTCTTCTATCAGCTAGAACAGTCTGTATTTCTTCTTTAGTTTTTATGACTTCTTCAGATCTTGGGTTTACCCTCTTGACCTACTCCTCATCTTTATCACCATGAGCAAACACCATCTTTCTCTGCTGTGAGCTGGATTCCCCTGGTCTCTATGGTGGGCCTATTGCTGTGCTCCTTGAAGCAGGAGAGGAAATTCACCTCATTAACCACTTGTACAATTTCTGGTTCCCTTGTTGTTGCCTTTCCCTTTTGTAAGTAGAGTCTGGCTGTGTAGCCTAGGCTGCACTTGAATTCTAAATTCTCCTGCCTCATCCTCAGGAGAGCTGGGATTACAGACAGGTAGTAATGGGTTTCTTTATGAGATCTTTCACAGATAACTTTGTATTTATTAAAATATCTTCTTTTTGGTCACATGCTGTGGTTGTTTAACTTGGTGTTCTTGTGGGACTCTTGTCTGCCTTTTAGGTGTCTGCCTTTTTTGCTCTCACAGTCCTTTTCCTCCTACTGGATTGCCTCATCTACCCTTGATATGAAGGTTTGTGCCTAGTCTTATTGCATTTTGTTATGCCATGTTCAGTTGATATTACTGAAAGGCCAGCTCTTTTCTCAAGGGAAACAGAGGAGCAGTGTGGATCTGTGCAAGAGGGGAATTTAGGGGGACAACCGGAAGGAGAGGAGAGAGGGGAGATGTCAGAAGAGATATATTATATAAGAGAATAATAAAATGAAAAAAATCTTCTGAAGGAATCTTTGGAGATCTCTGAGGTTGGGACACTTTATGAGCCCCTCTTTTCGTAGGCAGCCCCTCTTCTGTTGCTCCAGCTCTCAAATGGAATCTGGTGACATCATTTTCTTCCTGTCTGAAGTAGTTTAATGGATTACTGTGTTGGCAGACACAAGGTATCAAATGTTCCTTATTAATTTCCTTATTCTTGCTTTGTAACAATCTTTTCAAATTGCTCAATTTATTCTCAGCTTTCTGCTGGGCCCCGAAGGAACATGCTCTGCAAAGAGTACTTAATAATCAGCAACTAATATTGCTACTGAGGACATCACTTTCCACTTAGGGACTCCTTTAGGAAAAACAGAAGTATAGTCATAAAGCTGGGAGACATGTGCTTCAAAGAAGATAAATCAGACAGATAACAAAACATCTCAGTGCCCACCTTCACAACCTACTCTGACTCATTAAATAAATCATGAATCCTTTCCTCCTCCTCATCATTCTACAGTCTGCTATGTGACATGTCAACTCCACTCATTACCTCCACTCTACTCTTTATGCTTCCCTTGGTTACCTTGGAGATCCACAAAATGAGGAAGGTACACAGCAGTCACAGCTCCCTGCTCAGCCTTGATGTCAAACAGAGGCCCAGCCACCATGTGACTGTGCTGCAAGGGAGTCTTGTCCAGGTATTGGCTCCAGGAACAGAATCCAATCTCGATGGTCACTGCCCTTGTCACCACAAAGTGGAGTCCTGAGTTGGGACAGTGGTAGGAACCAGGCACAGGGAACTGAACTCTGGAAGAGGGAGAGGCAGACACCAGTGAACACCAACTCTGCTCCTCTGCTGGGTGCAGACCCAGTGCAGGGCTGGGGACACAGCAGGCTTCATCCAGATGTCTCTGAGTTCTGGTTCCTCTGCTGTCTGTGGATCCCTGATTAAGTCATTTAACCCTCAAATCTGTTTTTTCATCTGTACACAGGGGTAACAAGGACAACACCATCCTATGGACCTGTGAGTACCAAGTGATCTATAGAAAACCTACAAGTCGCCGGGCAGTGGTGGCACACGCCTTTAATCCCAGCACTTGGGAGGCAGAGCCAGGCGGATCTCTGTGAGTTCGAGGCCAGCCTGGGCTACCAAGTGAGCTCCAGGAAAGGCGCAAAACTATGCAGAGAAACCCTGTCTCGAAAAACCAAAAAAAAAAAAAAAGAAAACCTACAAGTAACACACACATAGAGCATTTGGATATGCCTGTGATGATGATGAGGGTGATGTAATAGGGATGTGTGTGTGTGTGTGTGTGTGTGTGTGTGTGTGTGTGTGTGTGTGTTAAGTTCTGAGAATCAAGGTAGGACCTTGCACACTAGCCAAAGACTATCACTGAGGTACATATTAAGTTTATAGCAGTTATGTTCTTGAAGTATATATTTCCCAATAATAAGAGTTATGATAAATCCTTGGCCTGGAAACAAGGCTTTACCAAGAATTTTTGCGATTTTTCTCAAGTCTTTCTGTTTGGTACCCGGTGGGTAGAAAAGTGTCAGTTTTTGTAGGAGAAAGTCAAAAGTGACAGTTTCTCCACCTGAGAACAGTAACTATAACAGTGTTGGAGGAGGGTAACAAGTTATGGAAGGCAAGTGTGGATAGAGTCACTCCTATTGGCCCTTGGAGGACAAGACTGTGTATCCATACTCACATTCTCAGCTCCTAGTGGGTTTTTGGCACACAGTGGCTGTTAGTGAAGCAAGAATGCAGAAACTATGGGGATTTAAGGGAATCTAAGAGACAGGAGAAACCGAATATAATGAAGGGAGGGATGCTGTTTATACCATGAATAAAATATTCTGCAGAAAAACCACAGTTCAGATAATGAGCCAAGACTGTTTAGATGGAATGAAGGACTTCTGTCAGCTCTTTTGATGTGGTAATGGTGTGCTTTTTATGGAAGATGAGGTTCTGTCTCATCTATAGGGGAGGCATAGTGAAATGTGTGAGTGTGAAGTCACCTGATATCCTGGACTCACAATACTGTGACAGTGATGACAAAGGGGGAATGTGAGTAGTTGAAACAAACTTGGAAAAATGTTTGTTGGAGCTCAGTGATTGGCCAGGGAAGTTCTTGTGCTCTTCTGTTTTGTAAATGTTTGAAAATTTCATGATAAAAATCCCTATTTCCACAGTAGCTCACACTTCTTATTCCAGTCCTTGCCTCCTGGGTTGCTGAAGGGAGGAGGAGACATAGTAGAGACTAGGTGGGTGCTATCTGTGGGGATGACCTGTGGAAAGTATGCTGGAGAAAGTCAGCCTTTGTCAGGCAGAGCTCACTCACCGGTACAGGTTCCTCTCTCTGTCAACCACCTCAGTAGCCACAGGTCCTGTAGGGCCCCAGAAGTCATCTTCAGTCCCCAGTGGTTCCAGGTGCTTGTCTCTTGGGGAGTCCGGTGGAGATGGATGGAAGGGCGCTGTAGTAGTAAATTGTGAGTACCACTCCTCTGGAAGAGCCCAGGCACTGGTTACTCTATGTGCAGGCTCCTCTCCCCAGCCCTCCCTTATACTAGCCCAAGACTGAACTCTTTTCCAGATTGGCCAGCCTGGGCCTTACCAGGAAGTACATCTACAGATTTTATTGCTGTTCCTGTGGTTACTTGCATGCTTTTCATATATATTATAGTTTTCTTACAACTGTTTGCCTTCTGAGCAACTCTACAACCCCAATATCTGGTCCCAATCCAGTTGTTGTGTTTCATTTCCTATCGGCCCAGAAGTATTGATTTTTCCTGACATGCCTCCAATGGGTAGGTTGTGAAAAGAACCTAACTGAAAAGATGAATGAGTATGGATGGAGGTGAGTCCCAGGCCATAGCAGCTCAGAATGAGACAGGGAGCCCTGGTACAGAGCCTGATGTAAGCCAGAGATTGATAGCGGGGCAGCACCAACCCTCAAGGCTGGGAGAGAAGGAAGCAGTCCTCCCTCTGTGTTCTAGCTGAGGAAGATCTTTATAGGGTGGGCTCTTTGTGGAGAACTGTGCTGTTCCATGTCAGAGACAGGGATAGAAATGAGTTCCAGCACATCTGAGATCATGTCTTCTGTATGTAACAGGGACATTGCACCCATGAAATCTCAACAATATTGTTGCCTATATAAGATCTGCACAATGACAATACCAGTTGTCATGCTAATGTGGATGGAGGAAATATCACAAGGCCCCACCTATAGATAATATCTGTTAGAGAGGGATAAAATCAGTTCTCCTCAGAAATAACTCCATAATAGGTTATCCAACCCCAAATGGTCAGTCTTAAACATATGTATGTGTACACACACACACACACACACACACACACACACACACACACACACACACACATATGACCAACACCAAATGGGGTCATCAGGTTGTATTAATATATACATATGAAAACATATGTGTGTTTACACATATATTTAACACTAATATTTAAAAAGAGGTCATGAACTTGAGAGAAAGGAAGAGAGTTTGTGGGTGGGTCACAGGAAGATAGAGTGGGTAAGAGAGAGGGGTAGAAATGATCTACATACAGTACTCATGTATAAAGTTCTAAAAAATTAAGATAAATTTAAAAAATAAAGTAATGATGATTTCCTCCAACAGATGCCCCTTCATCCTATAGTATAGACTCTTGATGCTCTAGGTCTGAACCCATCACATACCTGACTGTAGTCTCTGCTGCTTAAATGAGAGAGGGTTATCACTCATTTCTTCTTCATCTAGGTTCTCAGCAGGGATCGTCACAGGTGGTTTCCTACACACAGAGATGTTCTTTCCCTCAGATGTCAGAAGAAACCAGGGAAACCAGGGCTGTGTACACAATATCTTCACCTAAAGGTCAACTCTTATGAATTTGAACTAAGTCTCATGCTTCTTCTCTGGGCTGGAACTCTATGAAGGTCTCCATCCTCCTAGGCATCCATACTGCCTAAACAGGAACCATCTCAACCCTTCCTTTGTTCTAGTTTGAATGTGTATCCCAATGTTCATACATTGGAACAATAATCCACAATGCCACAGTGCTGATAAGATGAAGGGTAAGATACTGAGGTCATGAAGGCTCTGCTTTCATGAAGGGGTTAATGTCATCATCACAGAAGTAGGTTCCTGTGGCCCGACAGGACTTGTCACTAAAGCCACCTTGGCCTCTCACTCTCAGCCTCCCCAGTTGTGCTATCAGATGGAACAGGAAGAAGGGCTTCTCTAGATGTACAGTTCATGCCCATGTCCTTCCTTCTATCCATAACTGTAAGAAGTAATCTTGATTCTTTATGTTAAGTGCCCAGTGTCAGACACTGTGTTATAGCTGCACAAAACAGACTAATAATCGCTCACCCTTAATGCTAATCCCTAGTACCTCCCAAATCTCTCTCCTTTCTGTTCTATACTCTCCACTTCCACAAACTCCATTCTTATCCCGGGATGGAGTGAGCAGTGTCCTGAACCTCTTCAGAATCATCTGACAGACATCCCTGCTTCTGATCTGGTCACTTCTTGCTCATTTTCTACATAGTAGCTGATCATAAAATATGAGCAGAGGTGCCCCTGCATTGCTGAGGCACTGGAATGCCTCTCATTTCCTCTGGGGAGAAGCAGAAGTTTCTTAGTGTGGTTCCTAGTTCTTGCTGTGGCCCTGTTCTCCTCCAGGTCCTCCTATGTCATGCCTTCCTTTTCAGTGACTACTAGACCAGTGGCTCTCAAATCTGTGTTAAAATGTCAACTGGATGGCCTGCTAAATCAGAAATCTCACTGAAGGAAGCTGTTCCACCCGAGATTCTGAATCAGCAGACATGGGGTGGGGCCTGAGAACCTGCATTTCCATGGAGCTCCCAGATGATGGTGAGGCAGAGCAGATGGTCTCACACATGGTTTCCTGCCCTCAATGGAACTGCTCTCTCTGCTTCCTTATCCTTTACTTCTGCCTGGAATTTTCTCCTTCTTGGCCCATTTCTTATTTCCCATCTTTGAAAGCTCACCTCAGCTCATCTCAGCTTTGGAGGAGTTTAGACAAAGTGCAACTGAACTCAAGGGTTTCCAACGTATAATTCTGTGGACTATGGGGGGACAAGTGTCTCTTCCCGCTGACTGATATAATGAATGTTGGGTCATGGCTGCCTTATTTACTGATGTGCCCTCAGACTCCTAAATAGTGTAAGAAGCACAGTGGATTTGCAGGAATGTCTGTTCAATGAGTGGCTGACCCTCCTAAGTCTTCAGTACACCCTCCATTTCATGTGTGTCATAGCAGCTAGGAACTTGAGAACAGACAGAATTCAGGCTTGTGAAGTGAAATGTGACAAGGTGGGAAAACTTGGGGCTTCAGCACAGTCTCTGGAATGGAAGATGACTTTCCTGTCCTGAAGTTTCCCTTCAATCCCTTTGCACAGTGTGTGTGTGTGTGTGTGTGTGTGTGTGTGTGTGTGTGTGTGTGTGTGCATGCGTGTGTGCATGCACATGTGCACGTATGTTTGAATATTGGAGTTGGGACAATGATACATGATACACACCATGGTTTTTAATCCCCTAAGAGTCTTTCATTCTGTGTCTCTCCTTGGGTTGGTGACTGCTTTCATTGTTCAGTAGTCTGGATTCACTGCTGGCTACTATCATCTACTATTAATACATATGCTTTGTCAGGGGACTTACCACTAACTCAGCTTTTCATATTCTTTTATCTTGATTGACAATATTAAGAAGGCATGTTATATGATTCTATTTTTTAAATCATACACCTATCACAAATACACACACACACACACACACACACATCTCACTTTGGTCACTGTGGTTTTCTAGGTTCTCTCACTCTCATTGTCTTCAGCATCCCCCAAAGACCCTTTTCCACCTCTCAGCTCTGCAGAAGCCACATAGTGCCTGGGTTGACCAGTAGGAGTTCTGTGTCCACCCCTTACCATGTACTGGAGATGTGTAGCCATGGATTCTCTGCCTCCATGACCCTGAGCTCCATCATCACCTGGTCACTGAGATTGGTCTGGTCCATCCTACAAGCACAAGAGGGGGCTGTTTCTTCTGGTATCCACCATAGGATCAAGAGACCTCAGGATCCAGGATCCTGGACTCTTCTATGTTATCTGTAGATGGAGCTAGTGAGGAGGCTTGTTAAGGCTTATTCCTGACCCAGACCCAGGACAAAGCATGGAGATGAGTCTCATTGGGGCTTTGCCAGTGTGTGTGGGGAGATCTGAAGCCAAAATGTGGACATTTGGAACTTTCCAGAACTGAAATGAAGGTCTTGCCCTTTATACCCCTTTTCCCACATGTCAGTTATTGGTAACAGACTCTCCAAGGGAAGGAAACATAGCCATAGATGAGGGGATTCATGTTGGAAAAGGGCCACATAGTAGCCATCAGCATTCCTAGTGGCTGGAGGTCATGGCTGTATCCCTAAAGGTATTCTGGGCAGGTGTTCAAAGTAAACACATAGTGCTGGGATCATGGGTACTCTCCTTGAGGGAAAGAGCCTTGGTTCCATTCTCACCTCCCTCCCCTTTTCCTTTAATGCTAAGGGAGAAAGCCTTGTCCTTTTACAGCACCCACTACCTGAGGTCTGCTGGACCCATCTTTATTATCCCCAAGTCCTAGGATTTCTGGATGTTAGGGTAGTGACCTTCCCTGGGTTTCCCCATCCTCAGGCCAGAACCATAGCTATATCACTCCCATCTGCCTATTGTAAGGCACAGACAAGGATGGAGGGGAAAGGGTCCTGCACCTGTGAGAGGTTAAGCAATGTCAGGTTCACCATGCTCCAGCTCCTAACAGGCTCTTCAGCCTATGAGAAACAGTCATGGCTGAAAGCAGGCTGGAGAACAAAGGTGCTGAGCAGCTGGGCCAGTTTCAGCTCCCAGAAAGAAGACTCTTCACTACCCAACTGCTCCTTTAGCTTCGAGAGTTGAAGCAGAAGGCCTGACAGAGGGAAATCTTAGGGAACAGGCTTGCTGTACTCCTCCTATTGGCTGGTAGCACCAGAAGACAGGGTTTGGTACTCTCTATGGTTCTCTGATCACATGAAGGGCACTGGCGAGCAACCTGGGAAGTTCCTCTAGAAACTGGTTGTAGGCTTGGGCTGGGGAGGTGGAAGTATTCAGCTGAAGGTTTTCTGTGTCCTACCTGGTCTGTAGCCACTCAGACCCAAGTAAACACACAGAGGCTTATATTAATTAAAACTGCTCTGTCATTAGCTCAGTTTAACTATTGACTAGCTCTTACACTTAAACTCAGCCCATTTCTGTTAATCCATATGTTGCCACATGTTCTGTGTGCCATTACATGCTGCTCGCTGGATGACAGGGTGGTGTCTCCTCTGTGAAACAGGAACCTAAAGGACCATATTGTGGTGGTAATCTAATTGTATTGAAATATTATACTGATTTGTACTGAAATATTAATTTGATTGTATGTTAATAAATAAAGTTGTCTGGGGGTCAGAGCTATTAGAGCCATAGCAAGAGTGTGGCGGTGGTGGCACAC